TAATTAGTATTAATGTTAAAATGGAGTACAACTCTTGATTTTTTAATTGAAATTTATTTGTCGCATAAAAATATGATTTAATCTTAATTTGCAATCATTTTTCAAATCTCATTAGATTTGTAAGGACTCCTAATGTATAGTAATTAAGTCTTATAGTGAATGACAGAGAGGTTTATGGAGTGAAGGTTCACTCCACAAGTGTTGCACTAAATATACTTATATAAGAGTTAATCGACTCTTTCGTTCAATAAATGCAATGCAATGACAGGACAGGCTATTTGGGGGTCATTTCATATGTTTGTTTCGGGAGATAATCGGAAGTGCATTCCGTGTCGTGATCTCTGTTTAAGCCTTTATTGGAAAGACAGTCACAATATCTTTCGCTTCATTTCTCGTATTTCGATCAGAGATTACTATTGAGAGCCAAATGTGACACACATTACCAGCAAAAGACACACTCTCTCCAAGTCGTGCCACTCTTATTAAAGCAAGAGTTGAGAGCTTTTATTTAGCTGTCTGTCCAATTTGGCACCCGTAGTATTATTGTAGCCCTTTTGTCTTGTCTATGATATTAATGTTCAGAGAGAATGGCGTTTAATGTGTTCAAGAGAGACATCAAATGGTTTAATATTCCGTAATATTCTGTACCATATATTCTGTACTATTCTTTGATATATTCTGTGATATTTTAATTATTTGAGAAGTTGTCAAATGTGTGTCAAAATAGTGCATACAATACAAGAAACAGATGGTTATTGTCGAGTGATTGCTGTGACACAAGTCTATGATATGGCAGAGCGGGCGCTGACGTGTGGAAAGCCTATCACTAACTATCAAAAGGCAAGGGATGTCGCAGTCTTGGGATGAATGCTGTGTTTGTTTGAGTTCTTTAGACTCGTGTAAAAGACATCGACAATTGACATGTGAAGGCATTTCTGGAGACAATTTGTTATATAAAGACAAAACTTAATATACTTTTGCCATCTGTTTAGAAAGTCATCACTTCTTTATTAATATACAGAATATATTGTTTGCGCAATAATTGATGTCTTTTCATCAAATGTCGTGCTATAATAGCGTATCCATCGTCGTGAGCGTTGGCTGTTTCCATGTCATGGTATTTGATATTCATATGCATTATATGTGCCTAAGAATTGATTATATATTTCGATGAACCAATTCATTGCAATGGTTGTTCAGGCATGTCATACCTCCATAACAAACTTGTGTCCATCGATGGCATGTTCTGAGCCATTGTTGGGCCCATCGTTCCAATGGAAGTGTAATTCAATGAACCTATAGGTCTGGTTGTTGAGTGCCGTCCCTGTTATGAGCACTTCTTCGGTGCTGTTCTGATCCGCGAATATCTTCACTGAAATGCCATTTTGGGCCCATCGTTCCAATGGAAGTGTAATTCAATGAACCTATAGGTCTGGTTGTTGAGTGCCGTCCCTGTTATGAGCACTTCTTCGGTGCTGTTCTGATCCGCGAATATCTTCACTGAAATGCCATCAATTATCTCATTATATCGATGTACTGTAAGTTGTTTTGTGTTATATATCAAAACTATATAACTTAATTAAAATAATTGATTTTCTTTTTTACCTTGATAATTAATTGAATCTCTACAGTGTAAAGTTTACGCCATATATTAATTACAGATTGAATGTAAACTTTTATTTAGTATTTTTGTTGTACTTTTAATGTTATTTTGTTATCTGTTCTCACGTGAAAGTATTTATAAATTTATTTATAAGGTATAATATTATATTATACCTGGTATATGAAATGCCCTTAATGTTTAGTACATTTAAAAGATATTATGTGAAATAATTGTAACAATTAATGTGTTAATCTATCTAATCTGCCATTGAATTTATACAAAGTATCCTATATTGAGATTATCCGATTGAGCAATAAGTAAGTGATTGTCTCATGTCTACCCATCACTCACTCCAAATGCAACGTATATTTGCACTTTAATTAACAATTGATAAGAAATACTCATATTATGCTTAATTTCCTATTAATCCATTTGTAATCACTGAACACCTTTTGAATGTAAACATCAATAATGAACTAAATGTTCCGTCAATTAATAAATTATTGAATTTACCAAAAGTTCATATAAGGGTTCACCTGATATTAAGTACAGATAATAAAAGAAAAATAAAACAAATTCCGGGATATCAATGCAATTGAATTGTTGCCTTAAATAAACAAATGTGTATTAAATACTGTCTAACAAATATAACTCAAATTTCACTGCAATCACTACATTGCACTGTATATTAATAGGATAGGTGAACAATAAAAGTATTTTTCATTATTAAATCACAAAATTATCCAATTGAATGAATTGAATTGAAATAATAACATGTTGTAAAGTACTATTTGCAATGAATTGTAAAATTCAAGGATAAGTTTGAAATGTTTGTTCAAACAGTTTATGAGAATTATCTGTCTGTAAAAACTATTTGAATAAATGTTAATTATTAAAACGGTGACAGAAAAACATTATTTTCAAAAATTAGTTTCACTTCACTTCATTCAAATTCAATGTTTAAAGTGTAACTCATTTCTAGGAATATTTATAGTAAATAGTCAATGGATTCGATATCTATTTAAATCTGTTACCTGAGAAATCAAATTGTTTAATTTACTAAAATTTAAATGTTTTCAAAATGAAATGAATGTCACACAAAATCTCTGGGAATATACTATTAAAAGTGGGTATGTCAATTCACATGTGTTTATTAACTTGTAAAAGTTTGTTTTATGTTTTAATATTTTAACTATACAGTAGAATTATAACTACAGTATACAATATGATTTTTATTTATAATAAATCTTATTAAACAATTGTACTTCAAAATGAACTTATATAATTAAATTTATTTCTTTCTAATATATTTGTTATTTTTAGTATAATTTCATACAAAGTGTAATGTAATGTAAATATTTTGTACGATTCTATCACTCATTGATAAGAAATTGTTTTTTGTCTAGAGTTCCTATTAAATTTTATTTTTTAAGATTAAGATTAACTTGTTATTGTTATTATTTTATTATAATAATATAAACTGATTGGCAAATCAAACTATACGATAATTGAATTAAAATTTAATCTATATTTTTGTTTGAAATTATATATACTTTTAATTTAGCAATAATTACAGTATCAACCAATTTAATAACAAAATATCAATTCTTTTATAATTACAAAACTATCGATTATCTTATATTTCACTTCTGGTCTTATGTATATTTTGTATACTGTAGCTTGATAATTGTTTTATTTGATTATATTTATCAATACTTTCATGTATTAAACCTGTGAATTTATGATAAACAATTTGACCGGGATTACAAGAATAATAGGTATTCAAATAACATACCAATTACGGTGTAATATTAAATATACATAATACCCTTTTACTGTACGTATGATAATCGGTTATCTTAGCTATACAAAGTGTCTTTGTATAAAAAGTCCTAACTTATTAAATTGTTTAAAATAAAAGTATACGATATGTAAATACAGCCAGTACTATCATCTCAAATTGTGATAAAACAAATTAGATGACAAACCCTTATTTATAATACTTATGAACTGTTACTGTATATGATATCATACAAGAATCTGATTTCAATTAAATGTCAATTGAAACCAAAATTATGCAACACTTGATTATAGCAGTATAGTCAGTTTATAAAGTTGATTTTACTTAAGTATTAGTATTAATAGAACCTGTTGTTATATCGAACTAACAATTGGTTATTATGATAGTACATTTAATAGTTTAAATAATTCTAATAATACGCTTATAATTGAGATATTATTGCCCAGGTATCAGAATACTGTATTATCAACCTTAACATTAGTATATAAACTAAGTTTTTTCAAGATTTTTTTTAAGTTAGAAGTTTCTCATTGATTATTGTTATTAGCTTTGAAATTAAGATTAATAATAATTTCATTTTTATTTTGTGATAACATTTAGTATATGATCTTATTTTCTCCAGTCTATTGATTACCTCATTATAATTTTACTTTTTAATTTCATTTACTTTTAATAAGAATCATCATTTTTACTGAAGAATATGTAAGTCTTTATTGGATTTATAATTACCTCAATTTATATTAAAGATATTTTCCAAAAGTACATCAAATATAGGTTTAATCTAATTTTAATTTAAATCTTGCATGTTTCAATGAACTATACCTTTATATCCAGTATTGAACATATTTGCATTATTGACTGCTTTGTCATAATTAATAAAATCCATTTTCAATGACTCGTCGACAATAAGTTTGTTTGTGTCGATATTAATTGGCGATTGCATACTATACCTTTATATCCAGTATTGAACATATTTGCATTATTGACTGCTTTGTCATAATTAATAAAATCCATTTTCAATGACTCGTCGACAATAAGTTTGTTTGTGTCGATATTAATTGGCGATTGCATTCTTCCCCTGCATTTGTCGAACTCCTTTTCCCATGAATTCTCACCCTTTTTGCCCCAATAGCTCCATAGTATGTCTTATAAACAATTGTTAACATTATAATTTATAGATTAGTAAAATATTTTTAAAATATATTTACCTCCCGGTGACTGTCGACTTTTTACACACCATATCAATGAAAACACTGAAAATATTAGATGCAAGAATGAGATTAATTTTTCTTTAATTTAAAAATAAAGTTAAATAAAATATGATAACTTAAAATGTAATTCAATCATGCATTTAATTTTAACATAAATCATATACTTTTCAGATATTATTTCTAAAGAAATTTCTTCAAATTGTATACTGTTTTAAAAGATTTCGCATTAAAGAGAAAATGGTTTTCTATGAGTTTGTGGTATTTTTGTAATCACTGTTTGCATAACAGAGACAATCATAAGAATAACAATTTATTGACATAAATTCAATATTTGAATATCTATTAATATATTGCAAATATTAAATCAATTATAATAACCATGAATATGAAGATTGAGAATAATATAATACAAGACGAGAGGAATGGCAAGAAAACGAAAGAATTGGACACATATTTTACAGAAGAGGTACCGGTGCCACACAGTGATAATTATTCATTTAGTTGGCGCAGATTACTGGCCTTCACGGGCCCGGGATTTCTCATGTCAATTGCATACTTAGATCCGGGAAATATTGAATCAGATTTAAAGTCAGGCGCTGTGGCCAAGTATCGGCTGCTCTGGGTTTTGGTCAGCTCTACAATTGTGGGTCTATTCCTGCAACGACTGTCCGCACGCATAGGTGTTGTCACCGGAAAACATTTGGCAGAAATTGGTTTTAGACGTTACCCAAAATTACCCCGACTTTTGCTGTGGATTATGTCTGAAATCGCTATAATTGGCTCCGATATGCAAGAAGTTATAGGAACGGCAGTTTCCATATATTTACTGTCCAATCGAGTTATACCATTATATGCCGGCGTTTTGCTAACTATTTTGGATACCTTTTCATTCTTATTGCTAGACAAATACGGGTTAAGGAAACTGGAGGTGTTTTTTGGCCTATTGATCCTTATAATGGTCGGCACATTTGGCTATGAATTTGTAAAAGTCAAACCCCTGGCCAGTGATATAGCAAAGGGAATAGTGATTCCTTACTGTCAGGACTGTGATAGGGACGCACTGTTACAGGCGGTCGGCATAATCGGCGCTATAATAATGCCGCACAACCTATACCTTCACTCAGCTCTCGTCAAATCTCGTCGAGTGGACCGCAAAATCAAGGAAGAAGTGAATGACGCGAACCGTTATGTATTTATTGAAGCCGTTATAGCTCTGGGAGTGTCTCTTATCATCAACATATCGGTCACCTCTGTCTTTGCACACGAGATATTTGGCAAAACTAATGCTGAAGTACTGGAGGTCTGTAGCGCCACAAACAACTCGCTCTTCGATATCGATAGTTTCGAAAATAATACGGAACCGTTTGAGGCCGACATATATAAGGCGGGTATTTATATGGGCTGTCAGTTCGGCGCCTTTGCTATGTATATCTGGGCGATCGGTATCTTCGCTGCGGGCCAGTCATCGACAATGACGGGCACCTATTCGGGTCAGTTCGTGATGGAGGGCTTCCTGAACCTGAAGTGGTCGCGTTGGAAACGAGTCCTACTGACCAGGACCATAGCCATTGGGCCCACACTGGCCGTCACATTGAGCTCCGACATCCAGCACTTGACCGGAATGAATGACTACCTGAACGCCTTAATGAGTCTTATGTTACCCTTTGCTTTACTGCCGACCCTCACGTTCACGTGTTCGGCCAGAGTTATGGGAGTGTTCGCCAACGGACGGGTGGTTAAGGTATTAGCGACTATTGTGTCGATTATTATAATCATAATAAACATTTATTTTGTGATTAATTTGGTGATCGACAAGGGAAACCTTTTGATATATATCATAGTCGCTATATTTGGTTTCTTTTACGCCTTGTTTACACTGTATTTAGTGGTCTGCTATTCAGTGGTCCTATTCTCGATTGATTGGCCAAACTCTTTGCCGTTTGGCCAGTATTTTAGAGAAGTGAGTGGAACTGAATACGAATACATTGACCACATTAAGTCTGACCCCATACCCCTTTCTGACCCCCTACCCCTCTCACGGCTTTGATCAGGTGTTTGTTAACCAATACTTACTAACCATTATTCTGAGCATTATTTATTTAAGAAATTACTGGTTAGTTATAAAACAAGGCTAATTTAGTTGGAAATTGTAGAATTTTGTTTCAATATACTTATATTTTAATTATTGTTCTTTGATTATAACAATTAGAGTTAGATTAGATTAAAATTTATTTTGTTGATAGTTTAATTTTATTTAATCGGATAATGATTAGTAGGTATTAGTTTACAAATATGTTAATCGAGTCTTAATTAATATTTAATTATTATCTTTTTATTGTCAATTGCTTTAATAATTATTGTATTGATAATAATATACTTTTAATTTTCAATTTTTTGATGTTTTTGTTATTTTAATACTTTAATAAATAATAAAGTAATTCATTCATAAAACAAAAGAATTTTCCATTTACTTACTCAGAATCAAAACAAATGAATCCATTAATCACAGGAATGAAAGCATTATTAACTATTTAAATACACATAATATAAAGTTTAATACAATGGTTGAGTTCATATCATTGAAAACTTTTTAACACGTCCTTAACTAACAAAACATTGATTTATGCTTTGATTTAGTGACTGATCTGAAAATTAGAGAATATCTCATAATATGTATGAATTATTTCAATTCATTCGGAAAGACTTGAGAAGTAAAACCAAGACAAACAAAACGCTGAATGAAACTTTCTCTTATATAATAAGTTTTTTATGTCTATTGTTTTAATAATCGATATAAAGACTACAATCATATTCCGTGACTCAAACATAAAATTATAACATGAATTAATGATATTAAAGAAAATATCATTAAAAGAATTTCAAATGAAAACAGAATTTATGTTTTAAATTATTTTTTGCACTAAATTTCGTAGAACTGAACTGAAAAGTCACAAAATTCTATTGATTATCATTACAAACAAATGAAACATTTGAAAAAATTATTCATTTAAATAATTAGTAGATTATTTGCTCTGTGTAAACTCTCATACAGTAAGATATGTTTAATTTGATTAACGATTATGTATTCATTGCATAATTTCATTTCATAATGAGAAGTAATAATTGTGGTTTTATTTTAATGATTGATTTTATCAAATAAACCTAATTTTCTTAAATAAATCTTGAACTTGACATTCACATATTGAACTAGGCTAATATTAATTTTTATCATAGATATTTGATAATTTCAATTAAATTTTTATTACATCTCTCTCTCTCTCGAAATATTAAGAAAAGCAAATAAAAAAATAACATTTTATATATAGTTTTTGGTACATTTGAATAAAACTTTTGTAAACAAATAAGATACAATAGTTACTAATTTTGTTAATCGAAAATTAATTTAATAATTGTCATAAAAATTACTGTACAAAAATTTCATATACAGTATATTTTAAAATTACAATTAAAAAGCGCATACAGGTTTATATTTTAAAATACTTATATTAAACGCTATTATAAATTCTGCAAAGTATAAATTCTGTATTCATAAGATTTATTCAATAGTTGGCATAAAATGTTAAAGATATTTATATTTGATGACTTGAAATAAAAACAAAATACGAGTCACCAAATGCAAGACTAGGAAAACTGAAACACTTGGGCCTAAAAGTGACACATTCTTGACTCCTCCACCAAATTATTCTTGAATTCTATACCACAACAGCCGTACAATCAATATTTGTCTCACTTTATATCTACAAATTAAATGATTTTTATTACATAATAATAATAATAATACACCATAAATTGCATAATCATGACATGTAAACTTGCATTTCTCGGTAAATATATTTTTAGTAAGAAAATAAAACATATGCTATTACAGTATATTTGAATTAAAATTTCATTTCTGAATTATAGTGTTAATAAACTTAGAAAACCGTAGTCGTTCATTTGACCTACAAATTTTTAATAGACCATCAGTTTATGCAGTTATAGTTAGACGGGGTTTTTTGGAATATGCACTACATACAGTGAGGGGGTACCTAGATACACTGTGAGGGGGTCAAAATGGTCAAAAACCCCACAAAATTTAAATAATCCATATTTAACGAACGGAAAATGCTAGAGACATGGGGTAAACTATAAAATTTGTCTAAAATATAGCTCTATCAAGACTCTTGTCAAATGAACGTAGGTCAAATGATAGGCAACATTAGAAAACATACATGGTGAATATAATAAGTAGTAAAATAGATTCTATTTTAAACCTAATATTGACTTTTAAATAATTATTAATATGTGAAATAATATTAAATTTTTAATGGCATTATGTAAGCGTTAGGTTACTTTGAAAATTTATAAGAACTTCGATCGTTTGATCAAGTTAAATTTAGGATTCTTAATACTGTACAGTATAATGTTAATTACATAATAATTACCAATATTAATTAAGTAAGCGAGAGGTCACTCGTATACTAGTTGAACAATATGAATGCCCTAATAAGACCTGGTCACTGGTCACTTTATCCAGATAAAACAAGCTTGGTGAAAAGTTTGCAACGGAAACACGCGAGTGTTTGCGGCCGTAATTACTGTATGTAAGGGTCCGGCGTTGCATTGGCACGCATTCAGTGCACAGCCATTGTTGCACTGGTAGGCGAGAGGGAGTGGGAGTGTATGGGAGAGTGTGTGCGAGAGAGAGCGTGAAATGCGTTATTCTCAGGCAAACAACACTTGACTGTTCATCACATTCGTTGGACTCATTGCACGGATCTCATGAACGGTTGAGCCATTGGGACACCGATTGCCACCCAAACAGTCGCCCCAAACAGTGCCCCAAACAGTCCCACAATCACTGCACCACTCGTTCACAACAACCGTACGATTGGTTCGCTTTTACGCTATTTTGCAGTCATTTTGTAGTCATTTATTGCAAACAAACGCGTCTTAAAAGACGTCTTAAACGCCGATCCAGTCGTCACTCAAAACGGCTTTTAATCGCAAAACAGTTTATATTTCATACGAAAAGCCAATAGTTTTCAACAAATATTTATTTACATATTAATAGTGCATTTGATTTGTGGGGAAAGCCGTTGTCGTGGTGTTTGCGGCGATCGACGGCCGCGTTGTCCATCACTGTCTGTCTGTCTTCGCCATTCATCCCACTGTCCTCTGCCTGTCCTCGTGAGCGATGTCACCGTCACAGCCATTGCCGCCCAAAGAGAACGCTCTGTTCAAGAAGATCCTCAAGTGTTACGAACACAAGCAGTACAAGAATGGGCTCAAGTTTGCCAAACAGATCCTCACGAACCCCAAGCACACGGAGCACGGGGAGACACTGGCCATGAAGGGGCTGACACTGAACTGCTTGGGACGCAAGGAGGAGGCGTATGAGTACGTGCGCCGGGGTCTACGCAACGACCTCCGATCGCACGTGTGTTGGCACGTCTACGGACTGCTGCAGAGGTCGGACCACAAGTACGACGAGGCGATCAAGTGCTACAGGAATGCGCTGAAGTGGGATAAAGACAACATTCAGATACTCCGCGATCTGAGTCTCCTGCAGATCCAGATGCGAGACCTGGAAGGCTATCGGGACACGCGGTACCAGTTGTTCGCGTTGAGGCCCACGCAGAGGGCCTCGTGGATAGGCTTTGCGATGGCCTACCATTTACTTAAGGACTACGAGACGGCCGCCAAAATACTGGAGGAGTTCCGCAAAACGAGTCAATCGCAGCAGCAGAAGGCGATGCACAACCAGAACAGCGCTAACAGCGGCGCTACCGGCGCTCAGACACGACTGGCCGGTGAGAACTACGAGCAGTCGGAGCTGTTGTTATATCAGGTGATGATCCTGAAGGAGGCTCGGAACTACTCGGAAGCGTTGACTTATTTGGAGCGAAACG